CCGCGATCTCGTTCTTTCGGTCATTGCCCAAAGCTCATGACCATAGGTGAAGGAGGGAACGAAGATTGACCGGTAAATCGAGAGCTTTGGCATTCGGCTCAGCTCCCTCTTGAAATCCTGTGGTCCCCGAACCGGACCCCCTCCGGCCCCTGGCTGCGCCTAGAAATTCTATCCATAAAGACAGTGAACAGAACCGGTGACAAACGGCAGCCTTGGTGGAGGCCAACATGCACTGGGAACAGGTCTGACTTACTGCCGGCTAACCATCTTGGTGACCTCAGCCAGGGAGATGGAAGTATCCACCCCAATATCCTCAGCCTCTGCCTCCCCCTCTGGGACCAGCACCAGAGACTTTCCGACCACAGCTTTGAGCGGCTGCATTGGCGATAGAGGTTGAGAACATGGCCCACTCAGACTCGATGTCTCCCTCCTCCCCCGGAACTTCGGAGAAGCTCTCCCGGAGGTGTGCGTTGAAAGTCCGTCTGACGGAGGGCTCAGCGAGACGTTCCCAGCAGACCCTCACTACACGCTTGGGTCTGCCGGGTCTGCCAGGTCTGACGGGCTTCCTCCCCTGCCAGCGGATGCAACTCACGACCAGGTGATGATCGGTTGACAGCTCCGCCTCTCTCTTTACCTGAGTGTCTGAGACACGCCGCCAAAGGTCAGATGATACAACAACAAAGTCGATCATCGACCTCCGGCCTAGGGTGTCCTGGTGCCACGTGCACTGGTGGACACCCTTGTGCTCGAACATGGTGTTCGTGATGGACAAACTGTGACTAGCATAGAAGTCCAACAACTGAACACCGCTCGGTTTGAGATCAGGGGGACCGTTCTTCCCAACCACCCAGTGTCACTGGCATTTCCCACATGGGCGTTGAAGTCCCCGGGCGGTGCACTGCCCAGTACCCCTCCCAAGGACTCCAAGAAGGCCGGGTACTCTGCACTGCTGTTAGGCCCGTAGGCCGTCTCAACAGTGAGAGACTTGTCCCTTACCCGGAGGCGGAGGGACGCGACCCTCTCATTCACCGGGGAGAACTCCAACACGTGGCGGCTGAGATGGGGGGCAATGAGTATGGCCACCCCAGCTCGTCGCCTCTCCCCACGAGAAACGCCAGAAAAGTAGAGCGTCCAACCCCTCTCAAGGAGCTGGGTTCCAGAGCCCAAGCTGTGTGTGGAGGTGAGGCCGACTATGTCTAGTCGGTATCTCTCAACCTCCCCCACTAGCTCGGGCTCCTTCCCCCCCAGTGAGGTGACGTTCCACGTCCCAAGAGCCACTTCTCAAAACACTTCAAATGCAAAATAAAATGCAATAAAATGGTGAGTTAACATAAACAGGAACATACATGGTCCTGTTTCTGCTTTATGCATACAGAGCTTACATTATTGATTGGCTAGGATTACATTTTGCACCAGTCAATATCCACACAGAGGACACATAAGTGACTTTCTTCTTAGTTTTCAGCATTCCTAGTAAATTCCCATGACGTACATTGATTAAACATATTGGGTTAAAACAGGGGTTGGACAATCAATGTAATTCAAATCAAGAGAATATGCTATGGTCAAATTAGATGGTCATCAGACGATCCACTGGAGTTCAGTCATCGCTGGGATACAAGTGACAATACATTTGTTAGAGTCATTAGTTAGAGTCAATGCAAACATTCCTCACGTCTGCTCTCCTGGTAACTATGGTAACTGTTACAAGTCTAGCTGATTTCTCTGTAAATCCTGTGCCAATCCACATCAAACGGTCACATCAAATAGATCTTTTCATCAGCACTTATAAACTATAGTCTAATCATTTTCTTTTAAAGGTGTCTAGAAGTGGTAACAATATTAAAACAATGTATGATGATGATGATGATTCGGATATTTTTTTTTATACGTTTCTTACAAAAATTGCTTATTCCCCTTACAGTTGTATTGGAAGCTGCCCTCGAACTGAAACAGAATGAAAACATGAACTATTGCTTGTTGCCTGTTGTTTCACTGTGGGGACACTTCATTGCAAATTACATCACAGTAAAGAAATACCTTTTTATTGGATACAGCCTCTTTGTGGTGGCGCAAAAGTACATGTTGCTGTTATATCTTCAATATTTAATTCAATTGTGGACATGACAATACATCACATATTACGTGGACATGTTTCAAATAATCGTAGTCATGTCACACAAATGAAAAGGAGAAGAAAAAAGAAAACAAATCTGATGTTGCCTGCCCCTTTTAAAACATGTACACATTAAATGCAAAATAATTAAGATGAACTTCAGCACTCCTTCCTTAAAACTATTTTTATTTTATTCTATTTATTTTTTTGTATAAATAACAATCATTTTTCACAGCTTATAAATGATGTCAGACACTGTAGCAGACGCTAGAGTAGCATCGGTGTTCTTGTCCCCTTCTGCCAATTACGGAACGACAAGGACCAATACTCGCCTCTGAACTCAAGAGACCAAGGCCATTGATTTCCTAATGAGGAACGCCTAATGAATTGGAAATGCATGACACAGATTGGAGCGGGAAGCTGGTTAAGGCGGTGTGAACGCTCTCAAAGGACCAGTAACTAGTCAAACTGATCCTGCACTGTGTTTTCATACTGCAGGTATCCTTAAAGCTGGGGTACCTGACTTTCAAACCAGCATAATTCCACTGCTGTGTGCATACTGAAAAAAATGATAAATGAGGTAACACTCACTTGATTTGAGTGGTTTTTACCGTATTTTGAACACATTTTGACTGTCTTTACACAAGATCATGTTGCTTGTCCCATTGGAAAATCTTGTTTTAAGGCAGTCAAAATGTGTTCAAATTAACATAGATTTAGCCAAATTTGATCAATTATTTTTTTTAATCACTTTTTGCAGTGTGTAATCAATGCCTGTTTTTCTCTAACTAGTTTTTCTCATAAGATTTGTGCTCGATCACTAATATTCTTTAACATGTGTGTATATATGGCCATCTTTAGATCAGCTTTGCAGAGAAGTTAAAAAGAGAGGACCACCCTCACTCAACCAATCAGATCTCAGCCCAAAGCGTCAAATAGTGACTGACACGGCTCTTTCTTACAAGTGTGAAAACAATAACATAGTTTCTGATTTGTTCACATTTTACCAACACAACTCTTTCGACTGGGATAAAAATAAGGGATTTTGATTAAACAAAAAGTCTGATAACCCAGCTTCAAACTGACTGTGTATTCGGAATGGTCTCTTTGTAGTCTAGAGCAATGTAAAAACAAGGTTCCCTTAAAACAAACAGCCACACCACAACAAAGCTTGATATTGTACGTTTTTATATAAAATGATATGAGCATTTTTATATTACCTTTGACATCTACATACCTCTTCAATAAACACATTTATAGAAGCCAAAACATGTATCTGTTTTACATAAACTCGAGGCACGGAGCCCGTAAAGCATTGTTTGGTCATCATAAACATTCGTATTCTTCTTCTTATTTATTATTTTTAAACATCCTTGCAGCAACAAATTTGAGCAAATATAGGAATCAAGGTGGAAGAGCCATCAATCGAAACGGTTCACTCAAGTTTGACGATATCAAAGAGGCAATAAAGTTGGTGACAATGGAAAAAAACACCAATAAAGCACAAAAACTGGTCTTGTTTAAACACAGTACAATGCATTCTTGCTGTCAAAGGAAATACCATGTCTTTGTGGATGTCACCACGGACCTCCGACATGGTATTTGGATAAAACACATTGTTGTTCATCACTTCAAAAACAACTACAGTAAGATACGGCAAGGCATTTACGAAACATGGTGTGATGAGTTGGCAGCTGGTTCACAGAAATTATTGCAATGCACACCGAACATCGAGTCAACAATGTGTTCAAAATCACCTCTTGTGGTCTCCAACCTTCACCTGATTTTTAGGAGTTTCATTATTATTATTAGTAGTATTATTATTATTCATGTTGGCAGAAGACAATCAGATCTCAGAACGCTGAACACGGACTGTCAGTGGTCGACAACGTCATGCAACAAACACACACTAGAACTCTACGATTCAACAGCACTCACGCTATTTTGATAATATACTTAGTTTATAGGCCTCAATCCAGAGATAGGGGCCTTTTTTTTTGCAAGCAGACATCTCCCTGAAACGGTTCTGTCCATGAAAAATATGGCCTTTTTATATTCAACATAGATCAACGACCCAAATGTCACAATAGTCTCACAGAAACATTATACAGATATATACAGTACATACACACATTTGATAAATTGAATAGACTTCTTTTCTTTTCTTTTTTAAAATTATGAATACTTCTATTTGTCTGAGTGCAATTAAAGTGGTAAGACCCGACGTGATAGTCAACTGCAGTGTTCTCTGGTGCATGTTGTTCAAGTACTTCAAATGGGGTTTGACTGGATTACGCTCAGTAATATCCCGTATTTTGGACAATCCTTGCCAAAAAATAGTTCCATTGCCCTATTACAATGTCATAAATCTGTACTTTAAGATCAGGATTGACTTTACGATATCCTAGTGCAACGAAATATGCAATAAAACATATCATAACCAACATAAATACATCTTCTTGAAGCAAAGTGGCCGCTGTGGTGTATTCTATAGTGGTAACATTAACCAATTATGAAATGGCCACTACTTCTATAGAGTTAACATTTTAAATAGAGAATATAATAAATCTGTTTAATAAATCTTTTCATCAGGTGCAGACCTTTGATATTATAATAAGGTGACTTGTTTTTCTTTTTAACAGGAATGGACCCAAAAGCAACAGCAATCCCATCGTCCAGTCCATGGCACTAGTCTGCAGTTTACTATTACTACTAAGTTATATATACACAGTTCATATTAACATCTCTAATGAAAGTGGATTGTTCTGCATTTGCGACTAACTACGTTTCTCTTTACACTGTCATTTGAACTATAGTTAAACAGCTAATTATATATTCATCTGTGCAATCTAGTTAGGTAGACTCACCCCCAGTTTGCCCCCTTTTAAGAATAGCCTCGCTCTGCATACACGTTTTGCGCTGGTTCTTGGACGTACTGCTCAGTCTTGTCCCAGTCCTGAACCCAGCCTCCGTTCAGCTGGGCCGTGGCTCCGTAGCTCTTGGCTGGCCCCGCTATAGCACCGTAGCCCTGCGTGATGTCTCCGGTCTCCTCTGCCAGCTCGTCTTCGTCGATAAAGCCACACTTCTCGTCGCTGGTTTCTTCGGGGTCCGCCCAGGGCTGTTTCTCCCCCGAAGCAAAGAGGCCGTAAAAGATGACGCCCCCGTAATGCACCAGGGAGGCGATAAGGAAGACGTACTGCCACTCCTCCCGGGTCTAAAGGAGAACAAGGAAATGTGGTGATGTGGCTTGTATAGTCTTAAATGCAGTTCAGCAAAAACATCCTATTAAACTCTTTGGGCAATATTTTGTGTGTTACAGACAAAAGTTGGGGCTCTGGAACTTTATATGAGTTCGAGGGCTACTAAAAACCATAACAGAAATATTTGTGTTGAAACAGTTGTGGAGAAAGTGCCTCGGATTCAGGACTCATGAAGAAATTAAAATCTTATCATATCTTATCATATCAAACCTACATAGTTATTTAAGTCTGTATGAGCTTCGGGTAATGATCGAAATGAACAGATATAAGCAGTCAAAATTGGTTTCTGCTGCAGAGTGGCTGGGCGCTCCCTTAGAGATAGGGTGAAGAGCTCAGTCATCCAAGAGAGAAGGTCAGATTAGAGCCCCTGCTCCTACACACACTGCATATAGGGAGATGTTCCGGGCACGTCCAACCGAGAGGAGATCAGGGGAAGGCCCAGGACCCAGTAAAGGGACTTGGGATTCCCCAGACTGAGCTGGAGGAAGTGTGTGCGGAAAGGGAAAGTCTGGCATCTTTGCTCAGACTGCTGCCTTTGTGACCCGGCAACAGATAAAACTGAAGAAAATGGATGGATTTTATGTGCTCACACTTAGTAATGCTCATCTATGCATAAATACACCACTTCTATGAACCAATAACAAAAGTCTAACATCTAATTCAAGATAACACTCGATCACTTGCCTTATTTTTGGTCATTGCCCCCACGATGAGAGGACAGACCATCCCTGACAGCGTCCCCACACCATTGGAGATGCCCATCAGGATACTGGCGTAGCGGGGAGCAATGTCGAGGTGGTTGACATTGAAACCTGAACAACACATTTAAATTAACATCATCATTTTATTATACATTAACCATTACAACTATCATGAGACTAACCTGATATTGCAAAACCACTGAACCCCACAGCAAGAACTAAGAACGATATTGCAACTCCTTTGCTGTGAGAGTAACCCACCACTAACAGCAGCGTAGCCTCCATTCCAAACCCTATGACACATTCACAAGCATGAGTTAAAACAGAATTAGCATCATTTCTGCTGTTAGCTCATTACTTTGGATGCCTTACCTCCACAATTCATAATTTTCCGGACCGTCGTGGTGGACATGATGTTGTGTGTGCGTAGATAATCGGCCAACTGCCCTCCCAGCGGTACTATAATCGTCATAACCAGGTGAGGAAGAGCAGAGACCATCCCAACCTGCAAAATGAACACTTTTGTTGATTTATGAGAAAAGCAAGCAGGCGACTTCTTACAGCGGGACAGATGCAATATTACATGCGGACAAAAGGTTGTGTGGTTTTATCGCTGGCCCCAGTTTAATTCTGAGCTTCAATAGTAGCTGTCAGAACACTGATTCATGGCCCACACATACGACAGGGTCACAACTATCAAACTAGAACAGAATATATCTTTTTATGGGACATCCAGCTTTCTTTTGCAAATTGTAGAATGTCTGTGTTGACATGGTAACAAGGCTTTTTTCCGTCTAGGTAATGCCAGTAACGTCAAGGTCCCTCCTCTTGGCTCAACCTCTTCATAAGGATTTGCAGAGCCGCATAATTAAACCAATCGGGAGAGAGATCGTTTGTCATTCAAGAATTTAATTTCAAGCAACCGGTGCTTGCATTTGAAAATTCTCTCTGTCTCTACATTTTTACAAGATTAAAGATTCACATTAATACATCAAAAGTGCATGGCTGAAATGGCATATACAGTATGAATATTGTTTTGAAGATGAAATATCAGATTGTTGGCTATAATGTTTAAAGAGGAATCGTTCTGCTAAAATATCTCCTTGAAAATAAACTTTAGTCTGCGCAATCTCAACCAATCCAAATGCTTCCAAGAGAAGCATTTGGATTGTCATGGTGTGGATTTTGTTTTTGTATGTGGTTTTATTTTGACTTCAGTTTTGAGGTTTTGTTTTAGTTGGACTTCCTGCTTGATTTTTCCCTGTTTGATCGTCTGCCCCGCCCATTTGTGTTTTACCTGTGTCTCTCTGTGTCTATATGTACCCTCTGTATTATTTTTGCTTTCCTGAATTTTGGGTCCTTCCATCACTTCACCACATGACATAGATTGATAGAAAAAAAAAACTCTTTTTCAGCATTTACCTTGCTGATTTCGAAGCCAAATACTTCTTCAAAATACGCTGGCTGACTAATGAGCAGCAGGTAAAAGGTCCAGCTTCTGCAGAAGTTGGCCACAATGATTGCATAGACGGGCATCGAGGTAAAGAATTTCTTCCAGGGCGTTTTAAATTTCTATAAAACCAAATGAGAAACCGAGAAAAACCTCTTAGTATTAGATCCATAGACATGTGACAGTAGTACATTCACAAAGCGGTCACTGACTTCCATGGCGCCCATAAGCTGCGCACTCTCCCCGATGCTCTCCTCGATGTAGCGCCTCTCTTCTTCCGTGATGGTGGGATGCTCCGCTGGGCTCTCGTACGACACCAGGACCCAGAACATGTACCACACGATCCCAAAGCTCCCTGTCAAGTGCAACAGCGAAGGTCAAGGCTTATGATCACGCAGCAGCATTAGCTTTCGTTTGATTGTACAGCGGTTTTATAAATACATCACTGTCATTTTGAAATCACAGCTATGAAATGACCAAATGGCAAAAAGTACAATCATTTAGATCCGTTATTTTAATTTATGTGCTTTTAATTGCCCCTCTGAGATATATAAAGTGTTTGAAATCAAATTGAAATTAAAATTTCAATTTGATTTCAATTCCTTCACAAACAGTGTTGCATATTGAAAAAGATTGTGTTTTTTTGTGATTAGAATTCTAACTAGACATACACAGATGTCAAAACTGGGCTAACAAGAGGTAGCCTAAATAAGGTAATATTTATTTTCTAGTAATTGAGTACATTTTGAAGGTTTAATCCACTGATGAAAAATTTAAGTCCATTTGAATATATGCAAAAACAGAGCCATGGAAACCTATGGAAAAGCTTACAATTTTCTCTTTACCAAGTAGTTTTGTGAAAAGCCAGATCTATTTTAATGCCAGACAAGTAAAGTTTCACCCCTTCTTGAGCGAATTCTTTAAAGGATACTGCCATTAACACGTTAAAGATTGTAACTGGAGGAATACAATATTTGGAGAAAATTTCTGTTTTTGGATATGAACTCTACAATTGTACATCACTGTCATTGTAAGACCACAGCTTTACAAAACAAGGTATAAAATGTAGAATAATGTAATTTTGTATGTGTAAATAAATGTAAATAAGTGCACATTCATTTCACTTTTCCCCCTCTCTCTTACCATACACGTAGAAGACAGAGGACCAGCCCGTGTACTGCACCAGGATCCCAGCCAGAGGCATCGCCACCACCGCTCCAGCGTATGATCCTGAACCGACACAAGTGTGAGTCAGCAAAAGCCTGACTGATGATTCAGACAAAGATCTATTTTCAGGGCAGTCTTTCACACAATGTTTTGAAATGGAAACCCCTTCAGTAGTAAACAACGGTGGAAATCTATCTGTGGGTTTGTCCTTGTCTTGTGCTCTCTTTGAGACAGTAAAATAAGTGATGTATAGGAATGAACTCTCGAACGCACCACAGAAGGAGAGGGTTGCCAGTCGACTTCTTTCCAACGGTGGGGCCCATTTACTCCAGATGCCATGGCAGGCTGGATAAGTCACTCCCTGCGGAATAGATACTTTTTTAACGAGGTTAAACACAAAGGGGTCACTGGTCCAAAGGGAGCGGGATGACCACTGTCCATAAATGTCCCTAAATGTGCCGGATCATCATTGTCCTTAGACCCTCCTGCATCGGCAAGGAACAAAAAACTGTACTTTCTTTTGAGAAACCTCAGAGAGACACATATTGAGAAAGGGAAACTGTCATGGACGTACAGGTTATAGATCCAGGACTGAGGCTGTAGAACCAGGACTGAGGCTGTAGATCCAGGACTGAGGCTGTAGAACCAGGACTCAGGCTATAGATCCAAGACTGAGGCTATAGATCCAAGACTGAGGCTATAGATCCAAGACTGAGGCTATAGATCCAAGACTGAGGCTATAGATCCAGGACTGAGGCTATAGATCCAGGACTGAGGCTGTAGAACCAAGACTCAGGCTGTAGATCCAGGACTGAGGCTATAGATCCAGGACTGAGGCTGTAGAACCAAGACTCAGGCTGTAGATCCAGGACTCATATCATTGCTTCCCATCATCAGTGTATTCCAGCAAAATTCCAACCAGATAATAGCAGCCGTTAGAACCACCCAAGCTCTGTAAACCACTGTGTTCATTTCTATCCGACAAATTGCATTATCGCGGCGTGTACTGTCCGTGACCTTTCCAATGCAGAGTAATGGGTTGGGTGCGAGTCGGTGCAAATTCAAGCTGACTACACACCTCATGAAAAAAAAACTGAATTGCTCCCATTAAATCTTCATTACTCACTAAGTGGCACACAATCCTCTATTGATAGACACAAATTGCAGGGGCCAGTGCATAGGAGGCACCCTGAAATGCTAATGTTTAATTTGCAGTAATAAGTCGATGGCCACTGAGCACAACCTCTCTCCCTCCCTCTCTCTCCCTCTCTGCCTCTCTGCTATTGAAACCTGCACTGTGTGGCTAAACAAAATAACAACAACAGCCCGACCTTCAAATTGAAAAGAGCGAAGCTGTCCTTTCTCCCAAGCCTCAATCAAGTGGATTTTATGTTCTTTGTTCTGTGTGTGTCATTGTGAACATGAAGCCATCTCGCCTGTGTAACGCTATACGTGCACGCTCCATTATAGCTGTTTGTACACTAATCCAACTGTATTCACCGTGAATGGGGAGGCGTGCTTAATGGACTGTTTTTTCCTCGCTAATTCAAAACACAAAGCAGCAGCCAGTCCTACACCAAGAACAACATTTAGGATTTCATTTTGGATTTCATTGCTTTCGCTTAGTGCTTTAGAGCGGTGTTTTTCAACCAGTGGGCCAGGGTACTGTACGTCGATGTGGCTTTAGATGTGTATTAGTGTGTGTTTGTAAATGATACAGTATCACCGGCTTGGTCAAAATCATGTGAAATGAAATTAATGTGAGATGAGTAGAAATATTTTACACATTGATGAGAATGACTTTTCTTTGTTAATAAAGGCTGTGTAGAGTTTACATTTTGTATCCCATTCAGTTGGTGGTGTGACATGGCAAGGCAGAGAAAAATCACATAAATAATCACATTAAAAAAAGAAGGATAAAAATATAAATCCCTCAGTTGTATGCAAAACAGAACTGTTTTTAACCTGGATTTGAAAATGGTCAGAGAAGAGGCCTGTCTCGCATTTTCAGGAAGATTGTTACATTTTGCAATAACAAAGGTGTGGCACGCTCAAAAAGGTCGGGGAAAACTGCTTTAGAGTACATTTTTTTGATATTTTTTTGAGTCAAAGGTTTAAAATACATATGTGTGTGTCCATACCTCCACTAGTCCTTGCAATATCCTCACAAAGATGACACAGCCGTAGTGCACTCGGGCAGCGGAGGGGATAAACATGTTCAATATAGATGTAAGCACAATGGCAGCACCAAACACCCTGCGTGTCAGACAAGAGTCATTACAAAAGCATTCCACAGTGAAGAGGCGGGTTGATTCACAGCATTTCATCATTACAACGCAATGGTTTTATATAGTGCGTTTTGGGACACTCAAGGAAGCTTCAGATGGCATTATGAATTCACCCCATATGGTGCAAACTGCTTGTAGCCACAGCTGCCCTGGGGTGGACTGACGGAAGTAAGGCAGCCAATCTCAGCTTTTTGCCCCTCTGACCACCACCACAATGTACTGTTTTTTATGCAGTGTGAGAAATGAATCTCTACCATGATCCCGTCTCTGTGTGATTCATTTCCCACAGAAGTATCCTTTCTTTTGTTGGTGTTGTGAATTGTATGTTTTTTATTTTTATTTGAAATGTGAGGTGCAATTTAAACACAATGTATTATTATTGTTGTTATTATTATCTGCATATATAGTTACAGTCTACAGCCTCCCTACTGTAGCACCTGGTGTTCTTAGAGGTCTCCCATCACAGCACAAACCAGGCCCTAACCTGCTTAGCTTCTGAAATCTGACAGGATCCGCCTTTTATTCTGGTATCTCCATCAAAGATAATGTATTTATATGATGTTTTCTGACTTTGGTCGAAAACTGCAATATTGGCCTTTTCAAAATCCCTCTTGCTGAGATTCGTCCTGTATTCACACAGTAGGACAATAGAATGGAACAATTATTAATATTTATTTTCAAGCACTGCTCTGAATATGCAGTGAAACAGGCCCACAACTGGACTGCAGGCCTATAATTAAAAAAAGGGTTTCCACATAGTTTTTTTTGTTTTGTCTCGGGTGTAAATAAATCGGATCTGCTCAATAACAATGGTTCATGGCGCTGCATCCAAACACGTTCATTACGCACGGGGTTCACTCAGCATTTTGGCCGCTGTGGTTGCCAGGTCTGTGAACATAAATGATTAGACACACAGCCGTCCCCAGGGAGCTCATTAACACGAGAAGGCACGCCCGCTTCGCATCAGCCAAACCCCTATTATATCAGCCGAGGTCACGCTGCGCCGTCAGTCCAAGGCCATCCCGTGTCAATACGAGTATTTAAATAAATAAAAGAGTACAAATAATAATAATAACACTCAAAATAACGCAAAACACAATTGCACATGCGTTGGATTACCTGTTAGCAGCAAGCCTTTGAGATATATATCCTCCTGGTATTTGAGTGACGATGTAGCCCCAGAAAAAGGATCCATGAATCATCCCCACAATCTCAGGGTCCCAGTTGAATTTAGCTTTCTAAAAATACACATGTAGTTAACTGGCATGAATGCGTTATCTAGACCCAAACTGCAGGCCTATATTAGAAGGATTTGAGTTCAGTATCATATCTTGCCTAAATACATAATAATAATTCTAAATATGTGCAGCCCTGTCATTCAGATGTAGTGACATATCTGCTGTGTCTGAGGCTCATTACTGTTTCAAACTTGTGGCCTTGACTTTTATCAGTGAAATGCATAAAAGGGGCGTGATCTGGGGGTACCTCCTTGATGATGATCTTGCCGTTTTCGTGCACGGTGCGGGGGTTGACCATGCTGACGATGGCCACACCCAGGTTGCAGCGGATCCCGAAGGAGATGCAGAAGCCGAGGCCGCTGAGAATGGCGATGATGTACCTCCGCGGAAGCCCGAAGCAGGTGCAGTCGCAGAGCGGAGTACGGCGCTCCCCGTCGCTGCGCGGTCTCCCATCCTCCGTGAGCTCGATGGCCTCGCTGGTCTGCTGCTTCCTCTCCAGCCGCCTGCACCACACCTCTTTTTTTAAGCACGCATTCTGATCTTTATACGTGTAAACTCAGGCTTTGCTCCAGTTCTTCCCTTCATTGATTTACAACGTGAGAACTATAGAGCAAAAGAGTTTGAGTTATGGATGCTGATGTGAGCTGGATGGCACAGCTGTAAGTTCAGGACACTTGGCCCCAAAGCTGAAGGAAGGCCTTATAGAATTTTAAATTCCAGATTAGTCCTAATGTGGAGAAATAGACGATTTTGTTTTATTCTTTATTATTGTAAATGTATATGTTATAAATCTCCACTTCCAGAGAGTCATGACCTTCATACCGCATTGCAGCAGCATAAGGACAAAGCACCATAAATGCTGCTTTTAAAATGTTTTTCGTGCGTAAAATGGCGCCGGTCCTGTTCAAGATATTTGGTTTATTATTTTTTTTTTTTTCAGGACACTATAGGATTGCCCAGGATCCAGAGGGCCCCAAACCTTTTTCTCCTGAGCACATGCATATGTTGATTTTTTCTTTATTTCTTGGAGTCACGATTCACTGCTGCATGGTGCTCTGCGTCTTTATTTAAACCCACATTTCTTTACACATTAAAGTGTGATCGTGAACTAATAAGGCATCTTTGCCAACTGCACATTTTAAAATGGCCAATGAGGTTTTTAAAATATAGATGCTATCTAAAGCCTTGTTAGTGAATGAATCCTGCATTAATCCAGATTGATGCACATTGTAATAGATATCCTGAGAGCTTGTGGCACGACTCGTTGTGTTACATTAATTATTAAAAACTGCTTGAGCAGCTGTCGAAGGGGCTGTCCTCCAGGGAAATATCACATCCTTAAATATTCGACCCAGCATCACGTCTGTAATCAATCCCTGGTTTCGTTTCCAATCATTTTTCCACAAATTTTTCCGTCCATAACGCAGTCTTTTGATGCGATGTAGTGCGTAAAGAATGCCCTACCTGTACAGATGGCCGAGGGCCTTCCCAGCGAGCTGTTTAATTCCCTCCTTGGAAGTGGGGGCAGCTCCTTCTTTTCCGGGCTCCATATCCAAATTGTCCTAATATTCGGTTAGACTATAATATAAATTGTGCAGTAAAGAGCATATTGTTGAAATATTAATCCAAGGGGACACGTCTATCCTTCGAGCGGCGAACGTCTCCAGTTGAAGCGGGAAAAGACACGTTCAGGCTGAGCGAGCTGCCTCCAAAGCCACATAAGTCCGCGTGTGAGATGTTAGTCCACACCCTGCCATTATGAGGTCCTCAGTGTGACAAGAAAGAGGGAAATAAAAAAGTTACAGATGGAACCCGTGCAGAGGATGGCGTTCCCGCGGAGGTGTGTGCCCTTTGTGAGGAGATCACGCTTCAGCACCACGGAGAGCGCCTCTACCTGTCAGCAGCCCCTCCTCCTGGAAATACTCAGCCTCAGCATCAGCATCAGCCTCAGCATCAGCATCAGCTCTGTCCTCGTCCCTGTCCCTCACCACTATTGCACAATGCATCCAGACAATCAACTGAATACTCTCCGTGCTCCCCAATGTGACTGTTGCATTATAAAACCATACTTTGCAGGCCGTATTTTAACCAGGTCTAATGGATACAGCTTCCATGAAAGAGCGGTTTATTTTTGGACTTTTGAACCAAAAATAAAGCGTGAATTTTGTGGGTTTTTTCTACACTTACACTACGCCTTTTCAAAAAGGACACACGCCTACAAGAATGCCAAATCTGTAAAGGCAATAGTTCATTCCACATTCCTATCACTTGAGGCAGTGTTGTGGAGAAAACAGATCACAAATTATAATACATCCACGTTCACACTTTGAGCAGAAAGTGTTTGAATCAGATATATTCCTGCAAAAACTCATCATTTAACGTTGCAATATTTCTTTATTGAAATACTCAATTCCCTGGGAAGCGCTGTCAGGAGTTCACGCTATTGAATGGAGAAGTGCGCCATCTAGCGGCGGTTTGCTTAAAATGCATAACATTCCCCCATCCCCTCCAACACATTTATTTTCTCAATACAACTGATATAAAATAAGTGTTTGATGATAAGTAAGGATGATAAGGCAAACACACATTTGCAAATGTATATATATTTATTTGACACAGGCAGCATATACAGGTTACACAAAGGCAAAGTAATAAAACATGTTAGTTTACAATAAAAAAAAGATGGATTTTTTGTTTGCATTCTACTTTGCAAACAACCATCCTGTGAGAAGAAAATTAGTTTTTTTTTGGCGTTAAAGGCATTCGTGGGTTCATATACTGGGTTGATTCAGTATGGAGAAAAGGCAGATGGGGTGTTTTGCAATATTAACAGATACAAATACACATTACATTTATGCCTTATAGTTTTCTGTATTCAAATCATAACGTGCATCATATATTTAAAAAAAGTTGTAAAAAATAACAATACAAAAAAAAATTCTTTAAACTAAAATAGTTCAACTGCACAAATGTGTTCAACAGCAGTATGTGTCAAGTGCTTTGTGCAAAAAGAAACTTATCTCAGACCAATCCAACCGCATGTACTTTTATAGAGGCACATTTCGACACTCGTCCGGGTAACGTGGGTAGCATTAAAACTGGCCGGTAAAGGACACCGCTTTCACATCAGCAGCAGTGACACATTTTTTTTATATTAAGCTACTTTTTACACGTTACTTTGAACTTTGCGTGTCATTATTCAATTAAATAACATACAATATCATTCATATTTTTCATATTTCAAGGCAAATTGTCTGGTAGCATTTTAAATGAATAGTTTCAAAGCAAATATATATATATATATATATATACGTTTGGCTTACAGTAAATTGTGGTGCTGTCCATAAGGTACTCAAGAGTAAAAAAAAAAAGAGCAACATTAAAGCTGGGGTACCTAACTTTTCCTCCCATAAATAACACACGTACACAACAGAAGGAGACTTGTAAAAGTAAAATATTTTGAACAAATTATACCACAATATACATTCTTCATCTCATTAGAAAACACTTTGATTCTTATAAATGAAGATTTGAGCTGGGTGAGGGTGGTCCTCTCTTTTTCACTTCACGGTCTTAAAAAACAGCTCTAAAAAAAGTGTGACAGAGGCTGCACTAACGCTAGAACCAAACTGCTTAACCCTAGTGCTACCCTCACCACAAATGATTATAAGCGTAGAAAAAATCGCTTAATTAGGGTCTAAAAAAGGGACTAAATCACCCAGGTTAGAAAAAAACAAAAAAATTCATATAGAAAAGAAAATGTATGGTTTTTTTAATCACTGTCCAGGATAGCGTGAGGGTTAAGAGCCATGAACCTGTTACATAACATGGATTTCATTTTATACTGTAGTTCCATTTGGTGTGATGTGAAAGTTAAGTACCCCAGCTTTAAGGAAGCAAGTGATCTTTGGTATCAGCATGCAGGTGCATTTTGAGCTGTATGCATCATTTTAGCATCAGCTTTAACCACGAGTCCAGTGAGTGATGTCACACAGTCCACGGCTAAAGGCGGTCCGAGAGTACGTCATGACTCGGCACGGTGGGGTAGACCATGGGCGCGCAGGTGCAGCCGTGGTCGTTGTCTTGCCGTTTTTGGAGCTCCTCTTTCAGCTTTTCCACTTCATAGTTGTGCAGATATTCTTGGACTAGGTATCTCTCTCTCTTTACCCTGGCTCTCACTTCGGAAGGCACGTCCGAAATCAACCGGGCCACCACAAACTTGACCAAGAAGACGACATGCTGGGAGACAGAAAGCAAGAGAAAATTACTAGAGTATTTTCCTGTTTGAAATAACATGAATAATAATAATAATAATACATTCATTTGCATTACCTCCATGATAATGATGAAGGCTAGTTTAGCAGCCAGTATGTGCCAGAACTGCATAGTGTGGAAATATTCCTTCTCGTGGCCGGAGGGATAGCGGTAATCCCGATATCTAAAATAAAATGAAAAAACATATTAAAATTCTCTTTACAACTACATAACTACAGATTAGACCCCCGGGGAAAACATTTTTATATTTGGGCCATATTTCCTTTCTTTTTTTTTAACACTTTTTGTCAGTAGTTACAGTTTGTGAAGCCATTATTATCAAATAAATGTGTTTTCTATTACACTCCTCTTCCGCCCCTGATCAGAAGTTTCCATCCCCCAGTCCTCGATAGCCTACATTACCCCTTTAACATCTACCACATCAGCTGGATTCTTTTGTGTTGGTAGTGGATGAGGTTCTGTATCCTCTCCAATGGGAAAGCTGTCCACTCTTCTTGGCAAAAACTTCTTTGCATTAACTGAATGGTTGAGATCTCCACAGAGCTTTCTTATTGACAGTATACTTTGCAAAACACTTTTTTTTGGACAATAAATGGCATCACTCAACCACAAACAAGGAGTGATTTGTATGCGTTTTTATCTATAATCTTAAAATATGACCAAACAATTGAAATTCCTGCTTGGGCGTGTAAACCTTCCAGCACAACTTTAAATGCAGTTTATTCACACAAACACATATTCATATTCTGCTCTTCTGCAAACACACCTGCAGGTAGTGATGGTGCTGTTAAACCAAGCGGGATTCTCTCCATCCTCCGGTCGACTTTCTGCAGGGAACGCGCTGATGTTGAACACGGACAGACTGTTGTTGATGTAGCCCTTCATGTTGAGCTCGCCGTCGGGTTGGTAGGCGTACATGTAGACGAGCCGCGGGATCATGTCAGAAGTGAAGGCCACGATAAAGGCCTGCAGACAAACACGTCGAGCTCCGGTCAAAATCACGAAGAGTTTTGTGAGCCGGCATAAAGACAATATAACGCAGGCGGGTCAAACTCAGGCCCGTAGGACAAATATGGCCGGGAGACAATTTTTAGTGGCCCCAATTATCGTTATCACAGGAAATTGCAGCATTGATGGAAAGCAGTTACTATGGCATGTTATACTTCATTTTAAAGTCTCGGGAAAACAACCATATCAGTAATTGTATCAGTTCTAAAATATGTATGTAATTAGACGTATACTTAATTAATTTCTTCTAATTTCTTTCTCTTATTGATATTTGTCCCAGTTGTGGTTGAATCTAAACAAAAACACTTACTTTGTCAAGCCATAAATATGTAAATAATAAAAATAATAATAAACACTTAAAAAATAAAAATAAATACTTTCATACTTCTGGCCTCAACCTGCTCTTATGTTTTTAAATTTGGCCTCCAACCAAAATGAGTTTTACACCCCTGTTATACTGTGTACACGGAGAAGTTACAAAAATATTTGAATCAATATAAATTATCTCTCCAGATCCTACTCTCTACAAATACATACTTTTTTTGGTTCCCTTGACACACACACAACCACACATACGTAGGTCCAGGATGAAATCAACAAAAACAAACAAGTTAAATATGTATCTAATGCAAACACAATAACATAAACTTCAAAGAAATGTACTAGATTGTATTATTTATTTACAGCCAAAAAGCTTTTCCCTATATTTTTGCGCTAAAAATATACATTTGAATCACAGAACGTGGCCCAAAGACTACAAAATCAAAGTAGAAAAGGCAATGTTAAACAGCACGCACTGAGCTCTCTTGAAGTGATGATTAAGTACAAAACAAAATGTGATTTGAAGTAAATTATTAGTAAATTATAAAAATTTTTTATAACATATATGATTTTTTTGTATATTTAGTCTATATTTCTGTCTTTCTTTAACATAGATTTTAGTCTGTGTGCAATCAATGGAGAGCTCTTACATTAGTGACCACGGAGAGAACAGCCATGCCGTTGAGGATTTCCTCCCAGGCCCCGATGCAGTGGGCTTTGGCCGCCACAGGACGTCTGAACTGTGTGGTGAGTTTCCAGGCGTCCACTCGAACCTCGATGATGTTGTTGAAGAGCGCCAGCAGCGGAGCCAGGGGGAAGGAAGCCACGAACAGAGTGATGAAGCCAAACTGGATCACTGCAAATCAGAGACCGAGCCGTTACAAACAGCACCACTTAGAGGCCGCAACATCACATTACATGGATTGGACTAAATGGATTTCTGTAGTTATTAATTGTTATGATCTGTGTGTAATGTGGTATGATCTGAAAACAAGTAATATACCCACACATTAGTCGTATGTATTTTTTACATTACAACTACAATGTTCCGAGCTCATAGCATAAAAGATACATTTGAAAACTAATGTATAATTACAGTGGGGTACCCAACTTTTAAACCACCAAAAATTCCAATGCAATAACTACTTCCTTGCTCTCAAAACAGATCCGTTCTATCACTAGTTCTTCTCAAATGCATGTATGTTTTTGGCCCCAATCACATATTTAGATCAGATTTTCAAACAGAAATGTGCAAAAAGAGGACCGCACTCAATGAGCCAATCAGCTCTCAGCCTTAAGTGTCAAAGAGTGCCTCACACGATGCCCTGTTGTTTTACATTGACAAGACTCTTTCTGTTCGGAAAAAACCATTATACTACTAATACTATTTTATCATTTATGGGAAAAAAAGTTTGTTGGCTCATCTTTAAAGTAATCTATCTATAACTCGTAAAATAATAAATGAACATATCCATATTCATTTGTACCCATTTCCAAATATTCATCAAAGAGCCCCAGTTGTCCGAAGGGTTGCAGGTCGTGGTCTTGCTCCCAGCGACTGTACAGACTCTCTGGATGGCATCGAGCTTTCCTGCTGCCCCACCAGTTCATTAACCACCTTATGAACGCAAATATACAAATTAGACACAAAATGAAAAGATTTACTTTCTATATACCATTTGTGGCTAGATACATACGGCACCAGCGCTTCCTGGATGTTGCCCCACACCTGTTTCCCAGTCATAACTATCACGAGCTGCGTGGTGAGCTCAATCAAACAACCACCAGGATCACACTGAGGGAACAGACAAAAAGGATTCAGATGCAATATTAGGCTGTTAACATTAATATACAGTTGTGCTTTAAAGATTACACACACACGGCCAGAGAGAATGCTTTTTTTGCCAGTATTTTGGAGATTATACATGATAAACACTCGTTGTTAGTGGTTGTGTGAAGGCATATTGTCGAATAAATGTGTTATCAAGAGGTTGGTTGTACAGTTCATGCAAGTCGACCCTGGAAATTACAGGGAGTGGTGTTTTTTTGCCAAGAAGAATGGGAAGGTTTACCATCAGAATAATAACTATGAGTAATTCTTATTTAAATGGCGCATTTCACATACCAAGGTGTGTTAGAATATTTTGGTCACCTATTATACATGTTTTTAGTGGTAGGAGAAACCAAAGCACCCAGAGGAAAACTCCACACAGAAAGGTCTGAAAGTGGAATCACAAGTGCCAATGAGCATCAATTGAGCACTGGGGGATGGAGATTTCTAATACAATTAATAGTTTCAGTTGTCAGTATCATTTGAAAATAGATCATGTTTGTTTGACAATTGTATTTATATGAATTTGAATATCTAACAAGTTGAAGTTGTCATTCATAATCTCAAAAAATATGACAGATAATAACAGTAAAAAACTACGTCTGCCTGTCAAAAATCTGCCTGTGCGTGTGAACTGTCCAGCACAACTTGTACATATACAAAAGAAAAAACGTACCTCCTCATTTCGTAGGTTGCTCCAAGACCCGAAAAAGTAAGCATATTTCGAAGGGTATCCTACAAACTTGCCCTTGAAAAACGCAACATAGAAACAGGAGGAGTAGTAGTTGACGAACTGGAAGAGGAACATCTTCATGGTCAGCTTGTTCTCATACTCCAGGTGCGTTTTGGGGATTTCTGCCAAATTTACAAATAGTTTAGGCTCAAAATCCAGAACAAAGAATGCCATTAGTTCTGACCCTTACCCAGGTCAGTGATCCAAATAGCCACTCTCTCATACATGAGGTTGAGCACCATGATGATGACAAAGTTGATGCAGGATGCGGTGACAGATGTGGCCAGCTGTGGGGTGATGTAGGGGCCCACCACTTGCAGGTGGCTGGTGGGACTGTCTTTCATGATGCTGGCGAAGGCTGCGTAGACGGCCAGGCGATATGCAATCACCCCCACAATGCAGGCAATGATCAAAGAAATCTTAAGGACAGAGACAACAGTAACAATGTGGGCGACGATAACGCATGACACAGCAGAACACGTATCTACACTGTTGACCATGAATGAGGATTTATATGGATGGAGACGTATCTATAATTAGCACTATTTTCTAAAGTGGACATGGTCAACAGTGTACATAATTGTGCATGTTCAAACGTATGTACAGGTGAAACTGGGTGTTTACTCCTCAGTCTACTATCTCAGTCCTGGATCTACAGCAAAGAGATATATTTGAATCCTTGCTTTGTTATAATGTTGCTAATTGGCTCACAGCTCATAAAAACCTCAAATTAAGGATCTCAGAATATTTTTTTTTATAATAGACTGTAAGCCATAATCATCAACATGAAAATTTAAAATGAGAAACCAAAGGGACATTTCGTATGTCAAACCTTTGCTTGTCGAGTCATAGAGATAAATTTACTTAATTTTCAGAGTTTCACCTGTAAATGCTTAAGAAAATCAAAATGAAATGATTGCAGCACAAAACACATGCATCAAAACCCATGAATGAAATGTTACAGACTCAGTCAAGGGAAAGCAACCTGTGCTGTTGCTTTCAGTATTTCATATTCACGTATTATATTTATGTTTGTTGAATTCCAATGGATGTAATGGATATATCTTTTTAAACTTTAAAAGTGTAGGATTTGTTAGATTTTTGCTTGATAACAAAGGCTTCTTACCCCATGACTGGGTCACACAAACACAAACACACTGCACCAGAGAACCAAAGTCAAAAATAGGATGCTCACCCAGAACAGGACTGTGGCTCCGGACAGACACGTGCGCACACACTTGCTTGTTAAAGGTAAGTAAGGCTCCACTTCCTACATCATAAGCAAAGCATGGACACAACACAGTGAGACAGTGTCCTGAAAAGACAGTACGACTGGCCAACGTTAGCAAAAAGACAATCCCAAATTAAAGCTTTTTAAAATCTGAAAAGTCTTCTATGTGAATATTTACAGAAGCCACCCAACCCTCTGTCTTTCCAGTCACATCTGTTAAGCACATTGCCACAGAACATGACCCTGTCTAGACTGTCAGGACCTTACCCAAAATACAACCACCACCCAGCAAATGAAAAGATTGGCCATAAAAGTCGGGGCCGTCCTGTCAAGAACCAACTCCATTTCCTGAAGATTAGAGGCAAATTAAAGCACCCACTTTTTACAAGGCCTCGTCAACTTAACCTCCTTTTAATTAGGTTGGTGGCAAATGAATGACTGCAACAAGTCAATATCAAGATACACAGAGAAATAGCATTTTAGAAGATATGATGAACCACGTGATGAGCAGTTGATGATTGAAGCAGACACCTGAGTGACGTGGTTGAGTTTTCGCTCACTGCACTTGGACTCGTACTCCGGCCGCAGCTGCAGACGTTGCTGCTCCTCCTCAAAGTCCACCAGGTCCCACTCATACTCCAGCCGGGCCTGGCGCCGCTTCCAAAACTCAAGGAACAGCGTCACTGCACAGAAATTCATATTCACTCATAGTTTAGCCCTGCACCTGATGGTACATAACAATACATTGAAACATATCATTCTAATTTGAGAATTTATATATATTTATAAAGGAATTCTTATCTTATCTTGCTTCCACCAGGTGATTCTTGTACTATTTATTGCTTTTATCTCAATGTTTAAACCCACATTTTTCATACTTTTCAATCCATACTTTTATCCTACTCTATTTTAATACGAAATGATTGTATATTTCATTTTTTGTGTGTACGCATTTTGATGTGTGTTTTTAAATTTCTCTTGTGAAGCACAGACTTGCCATGTACACACAGTGTGCCATACAAATAAATGATGGATTGATTGAGCTCAAAGCCTTACCCCATATCCCCATGAAGATGGCAAAAAACACTGTTCCCACATTGTCAAAAAGATGTGATTGCTGAAAAGAATAACATTTTAGTCTTACTTTAAAAAACCACATTTATTAAAAACAAAATGGACAATATACTCACCCAAGATGAGTTGCATATTTTACTGAGTTTCCAGTAGCCACATTTCTTATCACAAAGTGGGCACATGACAATAGCCCCTCCAATGTCCTCCCTACAAATCTCCTTACTGAAAGAGAGAAGATTTTATTGGCCCTAGTAGTGGACAGCTCCAATTGAATAACAAGTAATGTGGAAACTTTAGGCTAAACCTACCTCCACTCATTCTCTTCAAAGGTCAACAACCCATAAACAAAACAAATGGTGCCAACGATCGCGGCAAACAACAGCATCTCGGTGTAGAATCCCAGCCACGCAAAATAAAGTCCTATTTTCTCTCCATAATATTTCCTGTTGATAATAACACCCGTCACATCATTGTTTTGTGTACTACTAAAACTATGTCATGCTTACCTTATCAGATGAATAGGCTGCTCCTTAAAGAAACATAAAAATCTGGCCCAGTAATTGTAGAGTTTGTATCTATCACTTTCACAATTGGAAGTGCTGGAGCTTTTCCAGTATCTGCACTGCACTCGGGGAGAGGAAGAAAAATCTTGTTAGATCCACTTCCTCTTTCATAATTCTGCTGCTATGACAGGACACACACTGCCTCTCTTACCGAGCAGAAATACTTAAAAAAGGACTTACATCATGGAGTGGAAAGGCTGCAGTGTAGGTGTTGTTGTTCAGTAACCTTTTGATACCAATCTTATCCCTTTCACAGTCGTGGAAATATGAACAGCGAGAAAGGATGTAATAAACCTGTATAAAAACAAAGAGAGGAAAACACATGTATTCATTAAAGGTGCATTCATTTCTGTAGTTTTGTATTGACATAAAATAAATACCCTTGTGGTCCTTCTATGACCCAGTTCTGTTTAGATCCATGTCACTAATACCTTCCTTATGCTTAAATGCAAATGTTTTAGATCAGAGGTGTCACACTAAGGTTGGTTGAGGCCAAGTTTAAAAACATAAGAGCTGGTTCGGACCTAAAGTGCAAAAGTGGTTTCTTTTATTATCAATATTTTCTTTATACATATATTTATTTTATTTGACATAAGTTTGGTTGTTATGTTCTAGTAGGTTTGGATTCAATCACAACTGGGACAAATATTAAAAAAATATTTAATTGAAGATTAATACTTAAATACTGTATTAAAAAAAAAAAATCCGGGGAACTAACTTTCTAATTTTAGAACAGATTAAATTATATGGTTGTTTTCCTGAGAAAGTTTAAAATGAAGTACAACATGCCATAGTTGCCCAAGTCACTGTAATTCAAAATCATTTCAGGGGCCACTAAAGATTATCTCAAGGGCTAGATTTGGCCCACGGGCATTCATTTGTCATGCCTTATTTAGATAAACCGCTGTTGTGTGTTTATTTGGAAAAAATGGTAAAATAGAGTTTGGTAATCACAATCTAGATACTGAAATCATTCTTACTATCCTGTTGCGAGTTGATGGGGGGAAAAAAGTATCCTTGTCATCGATTAGAAAGAAGTCTGCTTTGTTTTTGTCGAAGGAGGCCGTGAAGTAGTCTGGCTCAGGGTGCATGATGTCCTCCGGGAGGCGGATGGGCGTGGCCAGCCAGCCCATGGGCATCTCCCTGTTTTCTGGGATGTCGTTGGCCTTGAACGGGGCCTTGATTTTCAGCACATCTGCGTAGGTGGCCAGAACCTCCCACGGAGCATGGATCTTTACAAAATATGTGTTTCCATCTTCAGACTCCTAAGGATGCAAAGAGAAATATTATTAAATACATGATAATATTCTGACATGAATTTGAATTGAAATGTTGAACTGTCTTTGTTAAAGCTTGGGTGTCTAACTTTCAAGCCACAAAAGAATACTATAAGATCCTTAAAAAACTAGTTCCTGGCCTTTGTCACATCCATAGACCATACATTAGAAGTGGACTACCTTAAGTCACCCATAGTTTCAGCCGAATGCAGCAGAAGCAGTTATGAACATACGGTTTGCTAGCTGAAGCCAATTTCCAATGTTCAAGTGTTAGCTCCGTGTTTTGACAGGGGCAGGCGAGTTGCTAAGGCAAGCTGGAGTTTACCCCACAAATTAAGGCATACGATTGGTCAATCCTTATATGGCTCATATCTGGATTTACAAACACAATATCAGAATATTAACACCAGGATTATAAATAGCGCTAAACCATAATCTTTTTAGATCACAAAATTGCGAGTGTGACACAAACGGTTACTGAGCTAGAGGAGTTCAATTTTCAAAAGGGGGCAGTACGAGTCGGAGCAACACTTTGTCCATGAGCACTTCCCTGTTAGACTTGATTGAACAAGCACCTTAGCATTGTCCATCTGTATACAGTCTATGCACACATGTTTAGATCAGCTTTTTTGGAAAGGAAAATGATAAAGAGGACCATCATCACTCAGCCAATCAGCTCCCAGCCCAAAGTGTCAAATGGTGACTCAAAAGGCTCTTTCCTACAAGTATGCCAAAAAACGAAAATTTTCTCATAAATGGGTTAGTAAGTTCACAAAATTTTACTTTGACAAGACTCTGGGACAAACAATGTGTATTATTTTTGTAGAAAAGTTAGGTACCCATGCTTGAATATAGGCAGTTCAGTTGAAGCAAATTATATGGTTCTTCTAAAGATAACCGGGTGAGTCCAAAAGTATGAATTCTTATCCTCCAAATAAATAGATGAATAAATGTAAAAACCAGGCATCTTACAGATCTGTCTTCCGTCTCCAGCTCCAAGCCAACATTCCTGAGATTGGCCTCAAAAATTTTTCTTCTCTCCTAAAAAGACAAATGAGAAAACAAATGATTGGATAAATAATGCATGACAATATATCTGAGAGAATTATTCATTAGCACATGTTGAGAGAGTTGTGTTGTGTTGAAAACTCAGGAGCTAGCAGCCCTTCGTCACAGTGTCTCTCAATGACGAGCTTTGACTCACAGGGCCCATAGCACCTCCGTGTGAGGGCGAGCAGATAACTATGAAAAACACAGCACTATGTGTGTGTGTGTATCTCCCCAAAGCAAGCAAGGGACAGTATGGAAATAAAGAGTATTTGAATAAGATTAACTTGAGGTAAAGAAGGCCAGGAAATTCCTAGAAAAGATTAGACTCTGCTTTGGGTATCCGTGCTGCTGACACACATTTGAGGAAATCCTTTAGGAGACCGGGTTTAGTTTTTTCAATGTTCTTGTTTTGTCCTGTGAGTGTGTAAGTCAATCATGATGCTACTGCTTACCTGCTTTCTACCATCGTCTTTATCCTCTAAATAGGACAAGACAAAATCGATCCTTCGCACGCCATCTCGAAAGAAAATGGAGTCTTTGCTCTGGTGGTGTTTGTCGATCTACAAGAGAAAATACATTATGAATAAATGAATAATCTTTAGTTTAAATTATTACTGAAGTGAATTCATGTCAAGGCCAGGAACAAACTTCTCACAGCAAACTTCTCACAGCTCATAGAGTCTCTCTATGAGCTGTAGCCTACTCCTGAGTTCAGAATAAAACAAAAAACAAAATCAAATGGTTAGCAACTATATTAGATTAAGATTAAGAGATCCTTTATTTGTCCGACAGTGGGGAAATTTCAGTGTTGCATCACAAGTTATAGACCAGTAGGAATGAGGAGCACACAGAACAAGAAAAGTGAACAGCAGCTATACTAATTAAAATAAATCATAATCTCTAACTCTAGCATCAAAGAACAAGTATAAAATCTCGATCTCATATTAAGACAATGAGTAATAATTTTCTATCAAATATGTGTATGTACTTGTCCTTGTTAAATGATCCATTACAGAAGCTATGGCAATAGTAAAATGAATAGAAATGCAGAAAACTCCTCTACTGTACATGCTAAAGCTAGCCTTGAAGCTGCAGCACAAGAATCCCTCAAGGGAGAGCAGAGCAAGGCTGTGGTTCAGCTGTTCACAACACTATAAATACCTCTGGCCATTCATTTCTCTCTCAGTGCACCAACAACTGCCCACAGAAGCCTTGCACTATTGTCTCAGAGACCATGACATGTAGTCCAGGTTATTAGCGAAAGATAACCAGCAGCAGCACAGGAAACATAAGCACTTTACCTCCATTTGCAAAGTCCATTCATTAACAACGCTGCAGCAGCAGAAAGAGTGGATGCTGAGCTAAAGTGTCTTTCCCACAAGCCCCGCCTTCGTTATTACAGAGCTGTGTCCTCTGAAGATGCCCTGTCCAGTACAGTCCAGTGATACTACAACTCAAGAATTACATTAAATATCTAATTAGGATTTCTCTAAATGTTGTGATTATGTGATTCAAGATATGCCTTAAAAGTATTAATAATCTGTAAATCAAACAATAGGCAACAACTGTAATTCTCTTAAAGATGCAATCAAGGATTTTTTCCAGGCGCAGTCCAGTTATTATGTGTTTTCAAATAGAAATGGAATTGACCAGATGCCTATAGTTTCATGAAGCGGGATGAAGCGGGATTTGTGGGATTTATTCATCTCCAACAAACCAATGGGATGCGTTTACCCCCTTCACCCTCTTCCTGTTTCTTGCGAGTGCGCTCACCTGAGTTATCGGATTTTCTAAAACCTTAAAAGGGCTGAACAGAAAATGACAATGTCACGTTTGCCACCCACTCTCCCTGTTGTGACAAAGAAAAGAAAATGCTGAATATTTGGTTTGGTGGAGCGGTTTCCAGTTGGTGCTACGGCTGTCGGCTGAGCTAACAAAATGGCTTACTGCACCTTTGATACAAGTTTTTATAGAGCAGTGTTGCAACCTTATTGAACCGTGACACATCTTGCTCATTGAAAACTACCACATGGCACACCACCGGCTGAAATAAATACAAGCATGAAACTCTTCATTTTCAGTAAATCTCATTAAGTGAGTTATATTGAAAAACAAAGAGGCGCAAATAAGTTCTAATCTTCATGCATTATTTGTTTGTCCAATGAAGTGATATTGTGTTATTTCAAAAGGCACACCAAACAGCATCTTAAGGCACGATGGTTGAAAGACACTGTTTAACGATTATTTATTTATTTATTTAATATGAACATAACAATAACATTGGACAGACAAAGTGTTAGAGCAGTAGTTTTCAACACTAGTCCGCAGGGGGCTTTTACAGAAAATATACATCGTACAACCATCTATTTTTGTATTAGAGTAAAACAATATACATTAAATGCTAAAAATACTTGTTCCATTGGCAAATCTCCATTAAACAATCAAACTACATATATACACAAATCAAGATTAGTTTCCTTCATTTTAGAAATGTTAGGGTATTTTTGTCTAAATTTGCCATTTTGATTTCAAATTGATCAAAAATCCTTGTTTAAGAGTGACGTAAATGACAAATGGATATCCGTAAACAAGAATCTTCAAACTGTTAATACACAGGAAGCAGAAGAGGAAAACATGGACCTGATTTGGTTAAAAACAAAAGAGCAAAACTGATAAGGAAAGCAACACTGACTGATAACCAGAGACAGCACACAATCCCCACGTCTGCACTTTTGAGTCTAAAGGTAACATAGGACAGACCATGCAGATATACAAAACATGCTATGAGCTAATAAACAAATAAATAGATGTTGTAATTTCGAAGGGAGCAGGGTGGGTGCGAGTACTTAAAATAAAGAATCTGTCATTACCATACAGTAATTACAGATGTGCCGTATGGATTCAGTGCATGTGCGGCGACCAGGACCAGGCCCTTTACTCAGCCATAACTACTGGGCGTTTCAGCATCTGCATCTGCTTTTAGCCGTGAGGGTGGAGTATCGCTCCCAAAATGTTCATGTTTTATCTCTGTATTCTTTCAGATCATGTCCCTAAACTTGTCCAGATTGTGATATTGTGTTCTGTGATTATTGCTATTACTACATTTCTTAGTGGGACCTGTCACAATAATCACCATATCAACTTAACGTTCAATAACATGGTGACGATGGATGGTGGATGGAACAATATTTTTTTGAGCTCCACATTATGCGGGTTTTTTTTGCCATTTCATATTTTTGAATGTCTATTTCATATGTCAATATGTCAACTTTTTACTTAATTCTACTGTTTTTTTGGCTTTCTTTTTAATAACACAGACAATGATAAAATAGCATTACTGTCAGTGTGTATCAAGTAGTTTAATTTTTATCCTTTATCACATTTTTTGTGTGTGATGCCATCTGCCTGTGAAAAACCCGATCCTGTCAGAGCTCTGAAAAATTTCATTTCATACTTCCACAAACAGAAAAAGAAAGCAAAACACACTATGGCAAAAGCAGGTATAATCTCTCAACACAAATATGGTTAAACATGCATTCACTTCTTTCATTAGTGATAATTGATTGCAAATCTTCAACGTCAACATATAATCTTTTGGACAGATAGCAGTATTAACATAGAACTCCCAGAACAGTCAATTTGACGGATTTAGTTTTTATGTAAGTGCTCAGCTCATGTACATTTTTGATCTTCATAACTTTATGTAGTTTATTTTTACTTCATTATTTTCATGAAAGCACTAGTAACCATAGCAACATACTTTTAACTTTCTACAAGTAAGCACTAGCCTTTCGACAATCTGTTTTTTTTTTCTGTATTTCAAGTTATATTCACCTTTACGCACTAAAAGTGAGTAAAGGTACCGTACATTTGAATAAAACTGACGGTAATCTCACAAACTTATCAGAATTTCATCGTTAAATTCAGTAGTTTCATACTTCTGGGAATCTTAGTGTTAAGACAATAATAGAGAAATCTAAATATTCCACAATTTACATGCAGTCAATATTCATTCTAGTCATGATTTCTGTTCAAACTCTTCTTCTATTGGTTTTCTAGTTCATTTCCAAGCACTGGTACAAGTGTTAACCTTGTAATTGTTTTTAATTGCTAATCCAGACTAACACTTTCCACTTGCCAGGCTAATCGCAGGTGCGAACACATAGGGCCTTTTCCATTTCAGGGCGCGGCAGCACACACGACCTCTGCGTGTTTGAGAATAATAAAGAAACACTGGAGAACAAACGTGTCACACAAACCAACACTGACCATAGACACCAAAGGATGCATCACAAAACAAGGCAGTTTTACCATGCCATACCCGGGAACGAAACTTCAGGAACAGGGCGCGCTTTCTGGAGTTCTGTGGAGGAACCCAGTGACAATGAGGGGAAAGGCCTTACTTCATTATTTCGTAACAACAAGGACACCGATCCAAATTGTGCTGTATTAAAAAAACAGATGTATTAAAGCTGGGGTACTTGATTTTCAAGCCACAAAGAACCATGCAATAAATCCATTGACCTAGTTCCTTGCTCTCTAAACAGTTTGTTTTCTCACACATGCATTTTTGGTCTCTGCTGTATATTGGTCACTATTTAGATTTTGATACAAGACAAAAAAAAAACATTATGATACTAGAAAATTACTAAAGTAGAAATTTCAATATCACATTTGGCAAAATGTTTCTCAATTTGGGCACATTTTGACTGCCTTAAAACAAGATTTGTCAATGGGACAACAGTTCTTGAAATAATAATGGCTTGTCCCATCGGCCAATCTTGTTTTGAGACAATACCCGGTAACGGTTGAAGCGGAAGAAAATGGATTTAAATACAATGAAAATGAAGTCAAATTAAGATAAAAGTCACTTGATTTAAGCAAGTATTACCTCATATGTTGTCACTTTTGGCAGTGAATGTTCAGGAAAGTTTATATAATTGTATTCATTGAAATTAGGATCTTGATTTTTCAATAAAAGTTTTAGTATCAACTAATATCGGATTTTCAATACTTTTGAGGTTATCAAAAAAGCACAACTTTGGATCAGCTGTTTCAGACAGAAAAGTGAAAAAGAGATGACCACTCTTGCTCAGCTCTCAACCCAAATGGTCTGATAGTGACTGAATTTTATCATTTGACAAAGACAGTACATTGTGGGCTGATTAGTTCACAAACTTTTACAAGACCATTTCCGTTACGATAACCAAGATTATTTTATTTACTAAACAAAAAAGAGAAGCTTCTTGTCACACATATAAATAATTGGTCACAAAATAATATGAATTTCAGTTTATCTGCTTTCAAACCAAAATTCATCTCAAATCTGCAAATTTGTTACATATATTTTCATATTTGCCATTTTTTCCATATAAATGCTTACTAATTCATACAAAAAAATTGTCAATTATTTTTGTTGACTGAGATTCCATTGACTGAAGAAGTGACAAAATGACCAAACACTAACAACCATTCAAGTTAGGTACCCCAGCTTTAAAGAGGCGAGATGATCATGCCGGGTTAAGCCTGTAGAACCACAGACACACACACACAGCAGTGACAGAGTGGGAGGGTCCGGTGTGATCCCCTTACCCCAGTTAAAGTTTTGATTCGTTCTAAGGCGGGGTCCTGGTGCGGGGGGCTGTCGCTGTGCTCAGAAGAGGCCAGAGAAGGCAGGCTGCCACTCAGAGACTCACACGTGTCAACAAATACCTCAGGAGCCAACGAGGACTTCATGTGGGGAGGCAAGAGGAGCGTTAACAGGTTCACTGAGGCTTGGAAACAAAAGCGATACGAGGAAATGATAATAACTCCACACGCATGATCTATTATTTGTGAAAAGGAGAACTGAATATTGCACATAAGCTCATCGATATGGCAAAAAGAACGTACTTAAAATGGTGACGTCTGTGAGGGGCAGTTTTGTCATGATATCAAAATTAAAAAATACCTCTGAATGTCTAGGCGATTACGGTATTTACGTAGTCAGGTTCATTGTGTGTATAGTTTCTGCTTCTCTTGTGCAGAGCAGTGTTAAGGATACTTCTGAACTCTGGAGGCATTGGAGAAACTGTTTTTTGTCTGTTTTTTTGTTGTCCAGTTTTTTTGTTATACAAACTCTTTGTGTGTCTGAATTAAAGATGAAATAAATAAAACAAGAAAATAAATATATGTTTTAGAATTGTAGTGTTGTTTTCTTTTATGCATTCTTTAACATTAGCTTCATCTCGTACTACTCTACAGGTTAACCTCGGAAACTTAGAATGTCTTATTTATTTCTGCAATTCAACTTAAAATGTGAAACCGCCATGATGTAGACTCATTACATGCAACATGACATATAACATACACATATTTTTGTTTTAATATTGATGAGTATGGCTTACAGCTCAGTTTTCAAAATATTGAAATTTTCTGAGATATTTTACTTAGGGTTTTTTAAGCTGTGAGGCAATCATCGACATTATAAAAAATAAAGGCTTCAACTACCTCACTTTGCGTGTAATGATAATCTTATATTAGTTTCACATTTTAAGTTGTATCGCAGTAAATGGACTTTTGAACAATATTCTAAATTTCCCCACTTCCACCTGTGTATTTGTTTGTTATTGCACAAAAGATAAAACAGTCTAATCTGCTCTGGAAAGGTGACATTTTGTCCTGTTCGAATATTTTGTGTTAATATTGATACTTAGTTCAATATGGGAAAGTATCTACGGAAATTATCAATGCTTTTGACAGCCCAAGTATCAAGCAGTGATTAAAATGTATCTTCATAATTTTATTTTTTTGTTTTATATCTAGCAAAAATATGAAAGGACTGCAGACGTTAGACGATGCTAAACAAAGTCATCATCGGCCTCTGCTCCATTCACTCACTCTGCTGTGCCTGCTGTAGCTTCAAAAAGGGCAGTTCCTCCACTAGGCAAATTCACAAAAACAAATTCAAACGATAGAAGATCATGGAAACTCTGATGGACGAAGGAAATTACAAAATGAGAAATGCATTGTATGTTTAAAAGAGACATATCCCAATAAATCAACCACGCTGATATAACTTCTGCCACAAACACGTAACTCCGCCCCTTCTGCCCAATGGTCCGGGTCTAGTCTAAAAGTATGACGTCATCACACTACTTCATCACGTTTGACGCAGTTTTCTGACTTTTAAAAATAAAACTCTTGCCCTTCAAGTACACGTGAAATCGTGTTCTTGACAATTTGCCTGCTATGTTTGCAGGCGGTGGTTTTCAAATTTGGAAAATCACACACCAAATGCAGATCCTCCCTCTGGTGGTAGCACAGGGATAGGACAGGCTGTTAGCATTATTTACCCTCGCTACGATTATTCAAGATTTCTCGCTAAAACATGAAATGACAAAAGTAAATTTAGTCTCATCATCTTTTTGAATGGGCAGAAATAATGCCTTATATTACTTCTTTAAATACTAGAGTGGACGCATATTGAATGTTAAAAGGATTTTAAAAAGTGTAAATAGCATAATATATTTGAATAATTTGACGTTTTGTGACAATTTACCTCTGCTCTGTCGTGTTGGAAGGAGCCCATATCTGCAGTAGTGTGCTGTGGGTAACCATTCACATCATCTGGAAAACGAGAAACGAGAAAACCATCAGTGCAACGTTAATTACATCCAAAACAACCGGATGGAAAAGCAGCCGCCTTCAGGAAGGGGAGTTTCTGATAGTGCAGTGAAAGACAGAGCAATGCTTCACACACTCGCTGCTGGGAAAAAGCATGACTTGGCAAGAACACTGGTTTTGAACGCAATGATACAACGATAATAAGTAAGTGTGAGTGTAGAGATGTGGCGTCTTGAACTTTTATTTGAACCAGAGGAGTCGATATGAGAGATTCACCTCAGGGTCATTTACATACATACAAATATAGCAGGGAGAGAGATAAGAAAATCACTCTTCAGCCAAATAAACTCCTGAACACTTTTTATTCCGCAGTCGCTAAAGACGAGTTAAAGGCTAAATTTGAACACAAGATAATTGATGGTGCTTGTAATGTTATATTTAGTCTGAGCCCAGTATGTGAGCAGACTGACCTCTGAGCCACCACTGCCCTGTAATAGACTGCACCAGAATGTCAGTTACTGTATACCACACCCAAAAAAGTGAAAATGATACTATAATGATATCGTCACTTGGAAATATATATTTGCATAAAAATTAACTAAAACAGGGTTTATTTTAGATTAAATAATCTGTATTACTTCATCAGTTAGGGTACGTCACTTTCAAAACACAAATACATTTAACCATGTATTCAAATGTGTGTGACTAGTTACTGGCTCGAAAATAGTTTGGTTCTGTCACTACAGTAGTTTTCACATGCATGTATTCTAGGCCTTGCTCACATCTTTAGATCAGCTTTTTCAGACAGGAAATTGGATAATATAGAACTAATCTCACTCAGCCAATCAGCTCTTTGCAAAGTATGGGAAAAGATACGTTTTCTAATTAGGGTAAAGACTGCATGTTGTGGTCCGATGGCAACACAGAAGGTTACTTTCACAAGACCCATTCTGTTTGGACTAACACCATGTATTACTTATGGAGGGGGAAAGTTAGATATCCCAGCTTTAAAGCTACTGTCAGCTGAATCAATGTCAGAATGTGATTATCATGAGCCTGACCAAGATAAGAATCAGTCTGAACTGTGTTGTCTTTTTATCTGGACCTTGTGGCTGTAATAAAGTTTAATAATAATAATAATAGTACAATGTTAACACAAGCAATAGCAGCAGACACTATATTGAAAATACAAGGTTGATGACTGAATGGCAGAGCATATTTCTCCACAGTTGGCCACAGTATGAAGGCACACGCTTTAGCAACTTTGTTTTCTCACCAAGTTCCCTCCACAGTCACATCTTTGTTCTACTGAGAGCAGCTGATCACAGAACTGCTACAAGGCTGTGCTTAACTCAGTACTTGAGACATGTTTAGTTTAAAAAAAAAAAAAAAAAGTTTCCAAACAACATTTCAAATGACCATGTGAATGATAACAGAAGTCTTGGTGGTCTGTGAAGGCCTATTTGTATTTTTTGTATGTAGTTAAATATGTTTATAGCAAGGACCTGAGAAGTTTGCAAGTTTTCCAGTCCCATAACACAACACAACTCAAATCAAAATGTACATTGCTTTACAGCCGACACATTAAAAATTAAAGACGGAAAAGTTCACACACACCCTTTACAATCGATAAACAGAGAGCTCAGAGGAGAAGACTGTGTTAGTCTCGTTTTACTGTAGACCTATAATATCATTCTGTCAAAAAAAAACTAGGCAATCTGTGAGTCAGCATAATACTAATACTCAAACGTAACCTTAGAAAGCCTAGCCATGTTATTCATCATTGGGAAAACTGTGGATTCAGTGGTGTAGTAGCTGCTGTTAGTGGCTGTCTGTCTACATGACCAAGTCTTTCCAGTCAACAGGCCAGCTGCTGTTGGACAAGCAAGCCACTACTAGAGGAACACATTCAGACATACACATTGTAACATGGAAACCTTTCAGAGGACAAAGTAGCATAAAATATAGCCTGACAAACTTGAATTCTAGTTACTTGTAAAATATATGCAAGCAATTTGTCCAGCTATGAGTCCAGCTGGAGCAGACACCATGGTTATTTATAGATGCATGCAGGCAATTGGGTTACTGTTTACATTGGTGCAGAGTGACATCATATAATTAAGTTTATAACAAAAGCTGCTGCTCTATTTGAATATAATCACCTTTTTATTACAGACCACACAACTATACAAGGATATGGCATACTGAGTTAACTTGGACTTTTTAGCATTGTGTTTAGCATGGTCGCGCAAAAATGCTAAATTATCTTAACATAACTCAGCATGTAATATCGTTCGTGTGCAATTTATATTATTGAAGAGTGTAAGATTATACAAATTTAAATGTATTAAAACTCACCATTAAATGAATCAGTTGGGCTCATCTCAATCAGACCGTCGCCTCTTCTCCCGGAGAGTCGGTGCATGCTGGGCGGCTGGTGGGCTTCATATACCCGCCTGATGTGGAGGTCCTGGTCCTGATCCTGATCCGCGGGCTCCTCCGGCGGACTGTGTGTTCCCTCTGGCCCGATCCACATCCCAGGCTCCAGGCTCCAGGCTCCAAAGGCTCAGGGGGGAGGTCTCTGCGGCCTGAGCCAATCATCTGAGCCCTGACCGCGACTTTACTTTGTTCAACCAACAGCGTGGTTCAGACGGGAGCAAGACACAGGAGCTGAGCTGTGATACAGGCTGTGGTGGTAAATGGGAAGTGATCAGGTTTTGTGCAAAATAGAGCCATGGTTTTGTGCAGTATACTGTAAATGTGGGTAACCTGCATATAAACAGCTACCTAACTTTTAACCCTTTAATGTTCACTCCTTGAAGAAAGCAATGTATTTTTTCCCTAAGACAGATAATAGCACTAATAACACAATTATTGTGCTTTATTAACCCCTTAAGGACACAGCAACACATCACTGCGGCACCTGGTGTTCCCAGAGGTCTCCCATCCTAATCAGGTCCTGCCCTGCTTGGCTACAGAGGTCTAATGGACCTGACTTTCTCATGCAGGTATGGCCACAAAATCAGTATCAGAATCAGAATCAGAATCATTTTTATTGCCAACGTAAGTAACAGGAGGTCACAGACTTGGAAATTGCTTTGGCTCAGTGCAACAGTCAAAAAGATATAATAAAAATAAGAATAAAAAACACTTCTAAAGAATAAATTTAAATTTAAAATAGAGTTACAGTTACTATTTACAATATACAAGTGCACATGGTGCACACAATGTAAGGTGACAGCAGTACAGTGAAGTAAAGTGATGTATGATGGGCAGTAAAGTGACTTTATAAAGGGCGGGGGGACAGGTTACGAAGTGTTCAAGAGTCCAACAGCAGAGGGGAAGAAACTGTTCTTGTGGCGGGAGGTTCTAGTCCTGATGGACCGCAGCCTCCTGCCTGAGGGGAGTGGTTGGAATAGTCCATGTGCAGGGTGAGAGGGGTCGGCTGTGATACGACCAGCCCGGCCTCGAGCTCGGGCAACGTACAGGTCCTGCAGCGATGGAAGGCTGCGGCCGATCACTTCCTCTGCAGAGCGCACAATGCGCTGTAGTCTCTGTTTGTCCCTGACTGTGGCTCCAGCGAACCACACGGTGACGGAGGAGGTGAGGATGGACTCGATGATGGCCGTGTAGAACTGCACCAACATCTGTGCAGGCAGCTTGGCTTTCCTGAGCTGCCGCAGGAAGTACATCCTCTGCTGGGCCTTCTTGATGAGGGAGCTGATGGTCGGCTCCCACTTGAGGTCCTGGGTGATGGTGGTGCCCAGGAAACGATAGGACTCAACAGAGGTGATGGGGGAGTCCATCACGGAGGGTGGGGGCGGGGGGACAGTGCTCTTCCTGAAGTCCACAATCATCTCCACTGTCTTCTGGGCGTTCAGCTCCAGGTTGTTACCACTGCACCAGGACACCAGCCGGTCCACCTCCCTCCTGTAGGCGGACTCATCGTTGTTGGAGATGAGTCCAATGAGGGTGGTGTCGTCCGCGAACTTGATCAGCTTCACGGAGTCGTGGCTGGAGGTGCAGTGGTTGGTGTACAGGGAGAAGAGCAGGGGAGAAAGAACACAGCCCTGTGGGGCTCCTGTATTTATAATCCGAGAGTCCGAGACATTCTTCCCCAGACGCACTCGCTGCTTCCTGTCTGTCAGGAAGTCAGTGATCCACCTGCAGGTGGAATCGGGCACGTTGAGCTGGGAAAGCTTGTCCTGGAGCAGGGATGGCAGGATTGTGTTGAAGGCAGAGCTGAAGTCCACGAACAGGACCCTGGCGTAGGTCCCCGGGGAGTCCAGGTGCTGTAGGATGTGGTGGAGGGCCAGGTTAATGGCGTCGTCTACAGATCTGTTGGCTCTGTAGGCGAACTGCAGGGGGTCCAGGAGGGGGGAGGTGAAGGACTTGAGATGGGAGAGAACCAGGCGTTCAAATGACTTCATGACGACAGACGTAAGTGCTACAGGTCTGTAGTCATTGAGTCCTGTGATCCTGGGCTTCTTCGGGACGGGGACAATGATGGAGGATTTGAAGCAGGCCGGGACATGGCAGGACTGCAGAGAGGTGTTGAAAATGTCCGTGAACACAGGAGTAAGCTCACTGGCGCAGTGTCTCAGAGTGGCCGGAGACACGTGGTCCGGGCCAGGAGCTTTGCGGGGGTGCAGCCTCAAGAAGAGTTGTTTAATCTCTTTAGCGGCTATTGTTAGGCTGGGGGCAGGGCTGATGGGTGGGTCGTTAGAGTAGTGGGGGGTGGGGGAGGGAGAGGTGTCAGGGGCAGCATCAAAGCGACTGAAAAATAAGTTCAGTTCGTCAGCTAGCTTGTGGTCATCAGCACAGGGGGGGGCTTTGGGTTTGTAGTTGGTGATCTCCCGTAGGCCCCTCCAGACAGAAGCAGTATCGTTGTTACCAAACTGCTCCTGTAGTCGTTCTCTGTGCCGGGACTTGGCTGCTTTCAGTTCTTTCCTGAACTGATATTTAGCTGCTTTGTAGCCGCTGCGGTCCCCCTCCCTGAAAGCAGACTCCTTTGCTTTCCTGAGCTGCCGGAGTTTAGCAGTGAACCAGGGTTTGTCGTTGTTATAGATGACCCTGGTCCTTGTTGGAATGATGCTATCCTCACAGAAGTGAATGTATGACGTCACAGTGTCCGTATATTCATCCAAACTATCTGTGGCAGCTCTGAAAAGGTCCCAGTCTGTGGATTCCATGCATGCGCGCAGCTCTTCCACAGCTTCATCAGACCACACTTTGGAGCTCCTCACTGCAGGTTTCGAGAGCTTTAGTCTCTGTCTGTAAGCAGGAACCAGATGTATCATGGAGTGATCTGAGAAGCCGAGGGCTGGCTTGGGAACAGCGCGAAAAGCTCCGCGCACGGTGGTGTAACAGTGATCCAGAGTGTTCTCCTCTCTGGTCGGGCATTTGATAAACTGTCTGTATTTGGGTAATTCCTGGCTCAAGTTTCCCTTATTAAAATCCCCCAGGATAATAATCAGAGAGTCCGGGTATAAACGCAATCTGTACATTCATGTCAAACAAAAAGAGGTAGGTTGTTACAATCTCCCCCAATACCCAGGTGGACTTTAACGCTAAACCTTTTCAGAAAAAGTTTGAGGTTTTGATATTGAACCCCAAAGCAGAGGCAGGAGATTGAAGACGTTCTGCCAGTTTATTTACTAAAAAAGAGAATTGGCCAGGCAGGGAGCAGACCGAAGACCAAGAGATGACTGGGGATGCAGGGACGAGACACAGCCAAGAAGAAAACCAGGAGAGGAGAGGAACAAACTCTAACATAAAATCACAAAACTAAAAAAAACTAAAACGCAACTAGGCAAAAAGTAGTTCTATTGTACGGCCATTTGGTCCTCCCGCCTCCTCGTCTCTTTACTCTCAACAAGACAAATTTAGGAGCAGTCTCTCCGCTCTCTGTTAACTTTAAAGTGGCTAACGTACTGTAATTATGTGATGTGGGGTGTGCCGGTGTACAGAAATACAGCTGCTTATTTGGTGGACCACAGTTTCTTGGATCTCAGATGGACTGGCTCTGTAACATGTAGGTCCTCTTGGGTGTGCACTGCTCTTGTCAGTGTTTAAAGAGCCACTGGTGAAAATCAGCCTTAATAACAAGGCAGAGGAGGCCACCCATCATGTCAGTTTTGCTTTTAAAATATATATGAAAACACTTCAGTTAGATCTATGTATCAGAGCTAATTGAAATGTGTGAGTATTTTATCGTTATACAGTAGATACATCTCATAGATGCTCTCAGACTAAATCCTATAATCTATGACATATGGTTACAACATGTGGTTACCAAATACAACATACGTCGCCCGAGCTCGAGGCCGGGCTGGTCGTATCACAGCCGACCCCTCTCACCCTGCACATGGACTATTCCATCCACTCCCCTCAGGCAGGAGACTGCGGTCCATCAGGACTAGAACCTCCCGCCACAAGAACAGTTTCTTCCCCTCTGCTGTTGGACTCTTGAACACTTCTTAACCTGTCCCCCCGCCCTTTATAAAGTCACTTTACTGCCCATCATACGTCACTTTACTTCACTGTACTACTGTCACCTTACATTGTGTGCACCATGTGCACTTGTATATTGTAAATAGTAACTGTAACTCTATTTTAAATTTAAATTTATTCTTTAGAAGTGTTTTTTATTCTTATTTTTATTATCTCTTTTTAACTGTTGCACTGAGCCAAAGCAATTTCCTAGTCTGTGACCTCCTGTTACTTACGTGGCAATAAAAATGATTCTGATTCTGATTCTGATTCTGATACGGTTACCAAAGTCACAAACAATGATGATTATGAACATTATTTTTGGCATTGCTGTTGCAGATGAACTGTTTTCCCAACAGAGAATTGTGTTGTATTTGCCCTGGAGATGGACAGCCCTTCAACGATCACCGTTCACCAACCATTCTCACACGCCAAATATGTGAATGAAGTGTGGCACAACTCCCGCTGCCCCACTTCCCATTGGTCTCCCAGCACAGAATAAACCAGACCCCACACTTATGGGCTGCTCAGACAGGATCTACTTCTCCAGTGAGGATAGCTCAGGATACCTCAGTTTTAATGTGCAAATTGGTTCAGATCTCACAATTTGGTGCTCTGCATTCATGATGAAGAGGGATTTATCAATGTTTTAGTCCCCATGCATTTCAATTCACTTAATTCTCGTGTTGTAGTCTTACATTATCAGTTTAAACAATTTCTCGTGTATGTTTGCATAAACCTGCGTACAATGTAGTTAATTATTTATTTATTTTATGTGATTTTGATTTCATAGAAGACTTGAGTTTAAAACGTGTCTGAAACACACTGTTGACACGGGTAGAAAAAAGATAAAGACAAGCCTCAAGAGAGCTATCCATCATGCAACATGTTGAGCACCCCATGTTGGGTGGATATAGACGGATGGACAGACAGAGAGACAGACAGATTGACTGACTGAATTACGAATAGATAGATATGTCCAAGGTGGAAAGACTGATTTTATGGGTAATGAAACAATGAAAAAATTTAATGAAATAATGAAAAAATGTATGGGTAACTTACTCCTGTAAGGGCACAAGCCCCCCCCATTTTTGTCTTAGTACATTTGCGAAAGGGTCGTTTTTGAGATGCAGTGATTTAAGATAAGATAAGATAAGATAGACTTTATTGATCTCACACAGGAGAAATGTACAAGGTAATTTAGAGGTAAATGCATCTCTTTCCATGACTGCTCCCGGTTATTCAACTCGAAGCTTTTAAAGTGTCTTATCAGACTCGCAGATGGAATTGTTTCAGCATTTTCAGTTGTCATGACTCACTCACATGGTAAATGTCACTGGTGCGCTCTGTGTGGGCAGACCACAAGTCTCCAGCGTCTCCAGACAGCGCATGTGCTGACATCTAGTGGCGACAAGAGGTATAGCGACACACGCATCATGAAGAGGGAGCGACGTGGACAGAATAATGCACCGCACCACCTGACAACGCAGCAGAAGGGTCTTACAATGTATTTGATGTAACTCTCGAGGAGCAATATAGACCACACTGTTCATCTGCATATTGAGCATTGGACAGACGTAGACTTGCAAGACATCACAAGGAGACGGCTGCGCATGGTGCAGTATTACAACATAAATCAGAGAGCAGCAACAGGTAGAGTGGCTTTGACATTCCTCAGCCTGAAAAACAGCATCGCCTCTGTTCTCACGAGAGAGTGCGGAAGTTGCCTGATGTCGTATTGGAGACTGGATGGGTCTAGCTCTTCGACAGCTGTCCTCTGGTTGCCTGTGACTGGACTGTGGACTGTGGATGTGATTTGAGTACGCGAATCTGCATCCAGCGCCTGCCATCATGTATACGACTCACAGGAGACAGGTATGCGAAGTTACTCATCATCTGCACTATCAAAAAGGCAATGTATTTATCTACCAGATATGCTTTTGTACCTAGTAAGAATTGTAGACATGTTATTTGTCGATGTTATCAGGTCTGAACTGTTATGGGCTTAAGATGTCATAAAATATCACATTTGTAAACATTGCACGTACATATTGATTCTTGGTTATAACAGGGCCTCCGTTTCATGTATGAATATTGTCTGGACTGGCAGAGAGCTCATGCCATGTTGTGTAGTCAGTGTTGGGTTTGTCTGGTGACAGTCCTCATTGTGTGAGTCAGTATCAGTGGCACACCTCCCAAATGTATGACTGTTTGTATCCTTCTATATGGCCAGGTCATGCACATTTAACGCTAATTTAATTATAGTAATTCTCAGAAAAATATTGAATGAATCCTAACTATGTTTGGTTTTATGTTCTAAAGCCCAGTATTGAATTCCTGGAGTTAATGGGAGTAGTAAAGGAGAATGGCAGCGACCAGACATCCTTTCCTCCTGTGGTATGATGTATTATTTTATCTGTTTTTGAATTCCCAAGCCCTCACTAAAGTCACCAAAATTAACCGTTTCATCCTTCTTTCCTCAAAGCACACTCCGCTTTCATATGACTATGTTCTGGTCGGCAGAACATTGGAAAACAGAGATGCCACCCACATAAAACAGAACAAATTTATTGAAGAGCTGAAAAAGAAAAATCTTAAAGTTACAGTGAGTATTATGTAACACTGAAAGCACATAAGATAATACATATATGATAGAGCTTATACTTTCGTTGTCTCAGAAAATAATCGATGAAGATTTGGTGTTTTATGGCATTCAAGCTCCTAAAGAGATCTTTGAGAGGTACAGATATCTCCTGAAAGTGTCCGACGCATGTAACTGGAGCGCAGACCAAAACAATGTGCCCCTCAGCACCAGGTAAGCAGCGGTAACAGCTCCAAACACCTTTGAAACAATCCTTTCATTTGAACTGCACTAAACTAAAATAATATCATTTATCTTTCAGAATAAGGATCGTCCATTTCATCCTGACTCACACTGAACTGCCTAACAGTAATGGTGAGGCCACGTTCACACTCGTCTGGTTCACTTTTACTGGACCAAGTTTGGTTCACTTTAACTGGACCCAGTCTGGTTCACTTGAGGGAAAATGCTTCACAGATACTGTATGCATTGATGTTTGGTGGTTTTACATCTACAAATAAAGTGAATCAGAACGGGTCCAGTTAGACTAAACCTGACCGACAAGTGTTATTTTGAAGAAATTACAGAAAATAAAATAAAACAACTTAAATAAAGCTTACTTACATATAACTTTTTTTTTTCCCCCTCAGAAAACATACGGGATTTGATGAAGATGAAGGTTTTTGAGGCTAAATTCTGTTTGCATGAGGTAAATACTAGAGCGAACACGCACAATAACAATAAGTGACAGTGTCTTTTTACAGTGTATTCTACAGCTGTTTGATAAATACTTGGGTGTGAAACTTGGCACGATACGTATTAGGCATTCATCAAATGTTTAATGATTAAGGCTGGCTTGGGAAAATGAGAGCCGAGTTTCTGAGCATGTACCAAAGGACATTTTTTTTTTTCTGGACTAGTTTTTCAATTCAGTAAATGTGGCGATTTGTGTTTTTGTGTCAGAAAAAGAAACAAAGAGAGCTGAAGGAAAGCTGGGCTCGATGGACAGCCTGTCTCCAGGGGCAACCCATAACTGCTGTCAGGTCGGCACGGCGATGATGCACTACCATGTTATTATGTTTTTCACTACAATGGCCCCTTGGTGTTAATTCTTTTCATTTGTGACACCGAAGCACTCTCAAGTATTGACAGCAGCCAATATTCAAACACCCACCTATACTTTTGCAACCAATGCTCAGTTATGAAGTGCTGCAGTTCTACCTCACACTTCATTTAGCATTTGTGGAAATATGAAATCTGATCATTAAAATGCAACATAGTTAGAAGATACGTTATGTATACTTCTGGATCATTTTACAGTTGTTGGCCACATTTAACCGAATGTGAATGTTATCAGTGTTTTGTACTGATGTTGTGATTAGAAAGGATTTTAATGTTTTTTACATTATGAAGGTATTTTGACATCACCTTACTGTGACATAAGTTTCAGTTATTTTCTGGTTGATTAACTTCTAGTGGCGGTTAGAATTTTAGAATAGATTCGATTTGCTATTTTCCCTGAGAAAATATGTTGCATTTTACATACTTTGGCAGACCATGCAGCAAGTTGATAATAACATTAAAATCATATCAGGGGCTACTAAAAATGGTCTTGTGGGCTGGATTTGGCCCACCAGCCTGAGTTTGACATGCCTGGTCTAAAATTTCATAAAACCGCTGTATACCAATTCTTTTTTGTTTTCATTTTAGAAACTACTTTGGGGAGAAAGTGGCCCTGTACTACTTGTGGCTCGGCTGGTACACATATTTACTCATTGCACCTGCTGTCATTGGGCTCATTGTGTTCCTCTATGGCCTGGCCTTCTTCAACAGTTCATCCCTTATGTAAGAACCTTCATTATTACATACTTGTAATATTCAATCATCAAATATTCTTCTTTTGTAGAAAAGAGGTGTG